TTTTTTCAGGCTTCTGTTTTGATAAACCCAGTAAAACTCCCCTTGGCCTTTTTTTTTTTTTTTTTTGCGTGTGTGTGGATTGGTGAAGAAATCTTCTTGAAATGAAAAAAATACGTCTCAACCTGAGCTTCTTTTTGGGTTTGACTGACATTGCACAGATGGCGTTTTTGCAGGGCAAGACTCACTGTTGGTCGATAAAGGGCATTTCTTTGTTTTCCTCAGCTCCCCGACATCTTTGGTCAGGTGAGAGCCCGGTCTGAAAACACGCCCTTTCGGCCCCCACCTTCAAGCGCTTCCTCTCCACTTGTTAATCGGCGCCTGGCTACATGTTGCTAACTCTTAGGAGCAACGGAAGGACAGCGGAGGCTAACTGGGGCGTGTTTTCAGACGCGTTGAGAAGGTTGGTAACGCTTCCCGCTTTTGAGGTCCTGCTCCACTGCCCCCACTGGTTCCCTCCACCAATGTCCCCTCCCAAAACGCAACGCTCTCGCCTTGCAGGAAGATGCATTCAAGATGCATCGCCGACGACCAAGCGACGCCGACGAGAAGCGGTGACGAAACGAAACCCGCGACGCCTAGTCATCCAAAACTCAGTAGAGCTTGGAGAGTGAGGGGCGGCGGGGGAATGTTCGCTGTGTCGACAAGTCGAAACCTGCAAAATTCCTGCGCTGACGGCCGGGCTTGACTCCTGCGCTCCAGATGAGCGCTTTCAGTGAGTCGGCAAGTCCCAGGAAATAGACGAGATGCGTTCAAGGAGCGGCAAAGTACTGTATGTGGCAGCCTTTTTTCAAAATGGAATCAATTCATCCGGAAAGTTGTCCTCGCTCACCGCCAAGGGAGGATGTTCACATTTTCAAGGAAGAAACAAATTGAATCCATTTTAGAATCAGGACAGTTTGTGAGAGAATGTGGGGGGAAGGGATGCCGCCTATTTCATCAAGAAAGCGAGCACGTGACCGAGAGTGAGGAAAGGAAAACCCAAGAGGAAGTCAGCTTGAACACAAGCGAGAGACTTGCTGTCATGCCTCCAAAGTGCCACTGAAAGCAACTGAGTCCAGTGCAGACCAACAATTCCAAATGCACCTTTTGCATGGACTAGTCCCAATTGGAACTTTGCATCTACTGCAGTTTCACATTTTTGAAGTGTTTGGGCCCCGACGGAGCCTGTAGCGGATCCGAGAGATCAACCCCCCAAATGTCTTTGCGAGATCTGCACCCACTGTTTCATTTGTCATGGTTTGCCATTGCAGTCTTGCCCTGATAAACCCCGAGACAAATAACCCCCCCCCCCACCCCACCCCAAAAAAAGTCCTTGGTGGAGGTGATGAAAGTGGAGGTGCAGTAGATGACGCTTCGGTAGGTGCCCCCCTTATGTCCTTGTGTGCTTTCTGCCAACGCCGAGCTTCACTTGCAGTTTATTTCTTTCTTAATTTGATTTGTTTATTTGGCTCCTCAGCCACATCCCCTCGTGTATATGTTCAGCGCGTGTTGATGCATATCTCTCGCCGTGTCTGCCCCGCAGGTCGGCTCACACCGCGTCAAACTCTCCCGAGGATTTGAAGCCAATGCGCCGGCCTTCGAAAGGTACTTATTTCCACGTGTCCTCGAGTTCCGCTCGCGGCCGCGAAGGACGCGAGAGCGCTCGCCGCTTGTTGAGCCGCCCACGAGTCCTCTTCATTGGCCTCGGCCTCACGCGGGGCAACGCTTCATCACTGCCTTGTCATCTGTGTCAGCTGCCGGTGGACATTTTGCGCTCGGGCGTACACCGACGGTCTTCGTAAAATGGCCGACCTAATCTCCATGCCGCACCTTGCAGGCTTGCGCCCTTATCAACTTTTCTGGCTGCTCAGGCCGTCGCATCTCAACTCGAGTCGACTGTTTTTCTGGAGCACCTTAAAACAACGGCCGCTGTATACAAAGTGCTGCACTTATTTATTTGTTTGAGGCTTTGGTTTCATGTGCCTTACAGACACTTCACTGCCCTGAAGAGGTTGTACGGCAAACAAGTGATCATCAATCTGCTCGGCAGTAAGGAAGGAGAACACATGCTCAGCAAAGCCTTTCAAGTGAGACGCCCGAAAAGCTCTCCTCCCTCACTCTTTGTGTTTTTGTTTGTTTTTGTGACGAGTTTGCGGCATCGCAGCCTCTAAAAGTAGCGGCGTGCCAAAGAATTGGTGAATCAAAGGCTTAAAGTGCGCAGCGTATTTCTGCGGCTTCCACTTTTTCCTCATCCCGTGTAGTTCTTTGGGTACAGTTCAGTTGTATTTAACCACGTACATGATGGTGGGAATTGCCAAGCAAAGGTGGCGGCGGTTGTGTTTGTGTGCGGTCCTTGGTGGAAGGAAAGCACAAAGTGCGCTTGCTGTCCCACCCAGTGTTGTATGATCGCTTTGTTTCCAGAGTCACTTGAAAGCGTCGGAGCACGCCGCGTCCGTCAAGATGGTCAACTTCGACTACCACCAGAACGTGCGCGGCGGAAAGGCGGACAAGCTGCACAGCGTGCTCAAGCCGCAGCTGGGCAAGTTTGTGGAGGAGTGCGGCTTCTTCTACTACTCGGGAGAGATGGGCATCGCCAGGTCAGGCGCGCCTTACGCTTGAGCCGCTAGACATTTTTTTTTTCTCCCTTTGCTTTCACTTGGCATGAAAATTGCACATGGCCAGTCAACTCACCCGGGGGGGGGGCTTTCACACACCTTAATTTTTCCCTACTTCTGTCGTGTTTGAACATCAAATCCATTCCTAACGTGTGATTTTTGTAGGAGCCAGGGTGGCACCATCAGGACAAACTGCCTGGACTGTTTGGACAGAACTAACAGCGTCCAAGCCTTCTTTGCCCTGGAGGTACAGTAAGGGGAGGGGGCAACAAACGAAAGGGTCCATTTTGGAGGATAATCATCACGTGGCCGCGTCTTTCAGATGCTGGCCAAGCAGCTGGAGGAAATGGGCCTGACGGAGAAACCTCAGCTGGTGGCCCGCTTCCAGGAGGTGTTCAGGACCATGTGGTCGGCCAACGGCGACTCGGTCAGCAAGATCTACGCGGGCACCGGTGCCCTGGACGGCAAGGCCAAGGTGGTGCACCCGCACGGGGCTCACGCCGATGTCTTGAAAGAGCGCCGCCGTGCCGTGTGCATTCTCGCGTGCTCTCTCTTAACTCTCGCGTGTGTCGTGTGCCGTCTCTTTCTGCCGCCCTGCGGGACGCTCTGCACGTGCGGTAAGTTCCCCCAAATTCCACACATTTGAGTTTTTGTGGCGGGA